CACTACTTGAGTTAAAGAGTTTGCTTCTGAATGAGAGTTTGTGTACTGTGTTACCTATAGAGAAAGGCTAGCTATCTGAAAAATGTCACCTGAACTTAACATTTCCAGGATGTGATTAAAATTGTGCACATTTAAGTACATACCTTTACATGCTCACACAGCTCTGCAAGGAGACAGACGCAGAGAACATACATCTTATGCACAGAAGTGGGGTGGCTTTCTAAAGGTCCATCACTGACCAGAGTTTTTGAGTTATGAGAGCCACTCCAGAGATTTCTTTCAGAAAAACAGTCACCACTGGCAGCACATTTCAGTGACACAGAATGGGTTGCAAAACTTGCTTACTTGTGTGACATATTCAGCCTTCTCAACGAACTCAATCCGTCATTTCAGAGGAGAATGATGAGTGTGTTTAAGTCAGCAGATAAAGTGGCTGTATTCAAAGCCAAACTGGAATTATGGGGCCATGAGTGAACATTAGGATTTCTGACATGTTTCAAACATTTGCAGAGATTTTGAGGGAGACCAAGCCAGGGCCTTCTTTCTCCCAGCTGGTGCATGATCACCAATCTCAGCTTTCAAAAGAGTTTGAGCATAACTTCCCAACCACAAAAGACCCTTGAATTTGGAAGGAATGGATCTGTTACCCATTTGTGAATAAGCCAGGTGAATCGACTTTCTCCATGCTAGAAGAGAATCAACTGCTTGAGATTGCAAATGATGGAGGCCTTAAAAGTATGTTTGAGACAACTTCAAATCTCCATACATTCTGGGTTAAAGTCAAGGTGGAATATCCTGAGATTGCCACAAATGCACACAAAAGCCTGCTTCCATTTCTGACACTTTTTGTGAAGCAGAGTTTTCTGCAGTGACAGCAACCAAAACGAGATTGTTACAGAGTAGACTGGACATAAGCAATACACTTTGCGTGTCACTGTCTCCCATTGTCCCCTATCCTGCAACTAGATGGGACCATCTAGTTACAGGAAAACAAGCTCAGGGCTCCCACTGCTTCTGTATTATGGTGAGTTGTGTAATTACTTCATTATATATTACAATGTGATCATAATAGAAATAAAGTACACAATAAATGTAGTGCACTTGAATCATCCTGAAACTGGTCCCTGGTGCCAAAAAGGTTGGAGACCACTGACCTGGAATATATTTATAATCTTAGAGCCAAAAGCAATAATGTAATATCCATTATATGTGCCTAGGTACGTGGGTGTGTGTTATAACATTAAACTACCTTGCATTCTTGGGATAAACTCTTTTAGCTCAAGATTTATAATCTTTTTGCTATATTAATAGATTTGATTTGCTAATGTTCTGTTAATATTGTGTTTATAAAGAATTTTGTTTAAAGGTTTTAATTTCTATTTGAGCACTGCTTTAAAATTTAGCACAAAAATTTTCATATGTTGCGTTTTATCATTCAGTTCAAAATATTTATTTTAAAGTTTTTTAAGGGGTAGAATCTTACTCTGTTGCCCAGGCTAGAATGCAGTGGCATGATCATAGCTCACTGCAATCTCAAACTCCTGGGTTTGAGCTATCCTCCTGCTTCAGCCTCCCAAGTAGCTGGGATTACAGGCATGCACCACCATATCTGGCTAATTTTTTATTTTTCTGTAGAGGCGAGTCTCCCTATGTTGCCCAAACTGGTCTCAAACTCCTAGGCTCAAGCGATCCTCCCATGTTGGGCCTCCCAAAGTGCTGGGGTTACAGGCTTGAGCCACTGAACTCAGTCCAAAACATTTTCTAAGTGACTGTGGTTTCTTCTTGACCCATGGTTTATTTTGTTTTTATTTTTATTTTTTTCCAAACCCTACATGTGGCATTTGAGCATAGTTTATTTTTAAATATTATGTTAAATTTCCAAATACCTGGGGTTCTTCTAGGCATGTTACTGATGCTTTCTGACTTAATTTCATTATGCCCGGAGAACATACTCTATATAAGTTTACAATAAATCTTTTGAGATTTATTGAGACTTATCTTCTGACTTAGCATTTGATCTGTATTGGTGAATAGACCATGCACACTTGAAAAGAATATATTTTGTGGAGTTCTTGGGTGTAGTATTTTACAAATGTCAATTAGATTAAGTTGGTTAACATTGCTGTTCACATGATCTATGTTCATACTGATTCTTTTTTCATCTATTATTTTGGTTACTATGAGAAGGTTATAGTTAGAAATTTTTTTAAAAATCTGTTTCAGCCGGGCGTAGTGGCTCACGCCTGTAATCCAAGCACTTTGGAGGCCAAGGTGGGCGGATCACCTGAGGTCAGGAGTTCAAGACCAGCCTGACCAACGTGGTGAAGCCCCACCTTTAAAAAAAAAAAATTTAAAAAAAAAATCTGTTTCTCCCTTTAATTCTCTCAGATTTTCTTCTTCTTCTTTTTTTTTTGAGACGAGGGTCTCACTATGTTGCCTAGGCTAGTCTCAAACTCTTGCACTCACACAATCCTCTTACCTCAGCCTTCAAATTTTGTTCTTAACACCAGGCTTATATCTGTAATCCCAGCGCTGGGAGGCCGAGGTGGGAAGATTGCTTAAGCCCAGAAGTTCGAGACCAGGCTGGGCAACATAGGGAGACCCCATCTCTATAAAATAAAAAATAAACTAGCCAGGCATGATAGTGCACTCTTGTGGTCCCAGCTACTTCAGAGGCTGAGGTCGGAGGATTGTTTGTGCCTGGAAGGTCAAGGCTGTAGTGAGCCATTATCGTGCCACTGCACTCAGCCTAGGTGACAGAGTAAAACCCTGTCTTAAAAAAAAGGGGGGGATTGCGGTATTAAAAAACAACCAATTTTCTTAAAGGTTGAAGCTTTATATCAGACATATATACATTTATGATCACATTTTTTCTGTTAAATTATCTGTTTTATTATTTTATTGGAGACAGGGTCTTACTCTGTCACCTAAACTGGAGTGCAGTGATGTGATCACAGCTCATTGCAGCCTCTACCTCCTGGGCTAAGGTGTTCCTCTCACCTCAGCCTCCCTAGTAGCTGGGACCACAAGTGCAAGCCCCAGCACCTGGCTAATTAAAAAAAAAAAAAAAAAAAATGTTATTTTTCTTTTTGTCTCATTATGTTCTAACTCCTGGTTTCCAACTCCTGGACTCAAGTGATCCCCCTGCCTTGGCCTCCCAAGGTGCTAGGTTTACAGGCATGAGCCACTATGCCTGTCTTGTTTTATCATTTTGAAATGTCACTCTTTATTTCCAGTAATACTCTATCTCCTCTATCTTGGAGTCTATATATGAAAATAATATAGTCACTCCCCATTCTTTTCCCCTTAAACATTATGCCATAAGAAGTAACTTTTTTTTTTTTTTTTTTTTTGAGTCAGAGTTTTGCTCTTTTTGCCCAGGTTGGGGTGCAATGACGTGATCTTGGCTCACCGCAACCTCTGCCTCCTGGGTTCAAGCAATTCTCCTGCCTTAGCCTCCCAGGTAGCTGGGATTACAGGCATGTGCCACCACACCCAGCTAATTTTTGTATTTTTATTAGAGACAGGGTTTCACCACGTTGGCCAGGATGGTCTCAATCTCCTGACCTTCATGATCTGTCCACCTTGGCCTCCCAAAGCGCTGGGATTACAGGTGTGAGCCATTGCACCCAGCCAGAAGTAACTTTTTAAAAGGAGTTATGTTGCCCTGGCTGGAGTGCAGTGGCTGTTCACAGGTGTGATTATAGCCCACTACAGCCTTGAACTCCTGGGCTTAAGAGATCTTCCTGCCTCAGCCACCCAAGTAGCTAGAGCTATAGACGTATGCTACTATACCCAGTAAGCCTTTTTATACTTACTGTTTTCATCAAATGCCTTTTTCCAAGCGGCTTCCAATTTGTCTTTGTATTTGAAGTGCATCTGTTGTAGATAGTTCAGCATTGCTTTTAAAGTGGTTACTCCATTTTTGTTTAGTATGTTGATATGGTTGGATTTAGGTCTACTATTTTGATTTCTGTTTTTATTCCTGTTTGCCCTTTTTTACTTCTTACAGCTTAATGAATTTTGTGGGAGGATTTCCATTTTAATTTCTCTCGGCATTTTAGCTACATCTTTCTTTAAGGTTGCTGTAGAGATTGCAATATACATTCTTAATGTCTCATAGTATACTTAGAATTAAAACAATACCTGTTTGCCAGGGACGGTGGTTCATGCCTGTAATTCCAGTACTTTGAGGGGCTTAGTTAGGCGGATTGCCTGAGCTCAGGAGTTCCAGACCAGCCTGGACAACATGGTGAAACCCTGTCTGTATGAAAAATACAGAAACATTAGCCAGGTGTGGTGGCACATGACTTTAGTTCAAGCTACTTGGGTGGCTGAGGTGGGAGAATTGCTTAAGCCTGGGAGGTTGAGGCTGCGGTGAGCTGAGATCATACCACTGCACTCTAGAGTGGATGACAGAGTGAGAACCTGTCTCCAATAAATAAATAAATAACACCATTTAATTTAAAATTCAAGAATTTTACAACCACATAATTTTGTTTATGACTCTTTTATGCAGTAGTTGTCATGGTTTTTTATCTTAATGTGATAAACCCTGTATTTCAATATTATAACTTTGCTTTAAATAGTCATATGTATTTTCAGTAAATGAGGAGAGAATAAAACATAGTTTTATATATTTAACCATATATTTATCCGTTCCACTGATCTTCACTTCTTTCTGAAGATCTGTTCTGCCATCTAGTTTTGTTTCCCATTAGTTTGAAGAATTTCCCTTAGCATTTCTTGTCATGCAGGTATGTTGGGCAGGGAGTTGGCTTAGTTTTTGCTTATTTGAAAATCTCTTTATTTCATCTTTATTCTTGATAGATATTTTTGCCGAATATGGAGTTTCAGCAAAACAACAGTTTTGTTTTTTGTCTTTAGCAAAAGACAGTTTTTGCTTTTCCCCTCCTTTTTCTTATGAGAGTCCAATTATGCAGATGTTAAATTTTTTTCTCCCTCTGTTGCCCAGGCTGGAATGTAGTGGCGCAGTCTTGGCTCACTGCAACCTCCGTCTCCAGGGTTTAAGTGATTCTCCTGTCTCAGCCTCCTGAGTAGCTGGGACTACAGGCACGTGCCACTACGTAGCTAATTTTTTGAATTTTTAGTAGAGAAGGAGTTTCACAATGTTAGCCAGGATAGTCTCGATCTCCTGACCTCATGATCCGCCCAACTCAGCCTCCCAAAGTGCTGGGATTACAGATGTGAGCCACCGCGCCTGCCAATGTTAAATTTTTAAATATTGTATCACACATGTTTCTCAGGCTCTGTTTCTTTTCCCCAATCTTTCTTTTCAAACTGGATAATTTTTTTCCATTTATCTTTTAGTTTATTGACCCTTCTGTCATCTCTAATCTGCTGTTTTGACCTTTTAGGAAAATTTTTTTTACCTCAAATATATTTTTTAGTTTTAAAATATCGATTTGGTTATAGTTTTTATTCCTGTTTTGTGATTTCCTACCTGTGTGTTAATTTTCAAACATCTTTTTTCTTTATATCCTTAATCATAGCTATCACTGTAGCTTTCTCTGCTAATTCCTACACCTAAATAATTTCAGGTTTTAATCTGTCCTATACATTCAGAGTTTACTTGTCAGCCAGAAATCTCAGTAGAGTTTATATGCAGAGTGTGGGTTTATGTGTGGCTGTCTTTCTTTAAAGGATTTCCTTTCCATTTCTGGCTGATATGCTACCTCAAATGCTGCACTCTTGTTTCCTGAAGCCAGTAAGACTGCCGATTACTACCTGACCCAGCACTCACTGAAGCCTACCATTGGCAAAAAGCTGTTTAAAATTTTTTAAAGAGGGGTCAGTTAACTCTCCCAGCTGGTGCCATTTCTAAGTGTCAACCCTGCAGCAGTTTGTGTCTGATGTTAGTTTTCAGTGCCTTCAGTTAGTTCTTGTTTTGTTTTGTCCAGTTTTTGTAATTCTTATTTGTGGGATGATAGGCTAAATATAAGGTACTCCATCATTGGTGAAAGTAGA